CCATTTGTACTTTAATGCTCTACTTCTTGGTCTCCATCTTACTTATCTCTTCAAGTTAAAACGCAATTGAAACGGTTTCAAACGAAAACGTTACTTTTATCGTACGAAGTTTCCGAAAGTGTTTAAATCATCAAAAGTTTATCACACTTTACCGCTGCACTAATTCACCCCCCCCTCTTAGTGCCGCTCCGATCCTAACAGTTGCCACCCTTGGGAGTGTCGTAAATCATAAGTGATGAATAAAACATAATAAGAAGTTTGATACGAGCTACTTCATCAGTACATTAAGTAGTGTAATTATACAAGTGGGTTCTGATTCTAACAACTTAGCAGCTATAACAAGTGGATGACATACCTCTACTGTCGAGGATATATATATATATATATATATATATATATATATATATATATATATATATATATATATATATATGTACTAGTTGTGCTTAATACTTCTGCAGCTACCACGTCCAATGTTGTCCATGAGGAACTCCCCAATTCCTTCTCCTATCCCCTCGATCAATCCACCAATAATCCCAACCAACGCCTGAGTCGTGAGCTTCGCCGCGGTGCCGAGCATGTTGTTAGGTTTGTCCGGCGACCGTAAACCATGAACATAAAGGCCGTTAACCATGTCTTTTGCACAGGCCGCATGGAGACAGTAGCCGCACGCTGCTGCACATCGGTAAACCTGCCCAGATCTCTTCCTCTGGCACACATTGCAGACTGTGCTGGCATCTCCGGTCGCAACTGCTGCAGACGGTGAAAGAACTAAGGGATGTTGATGTGTCGGAAAGTTCATCACCACACGCATCGCCGCGCAGCATGGGTGCATCCCGAAGCTGCATGTGGTGCAACGAAAACCAAATCCTTTGGCTGCTTTGCCACAGACGTCGCATTTCCAACGTAGAAAACCGCCTTCATGATGAACCGTCGTGAATGAAATGAGCATGTACACATACATACAGATATATAATTAGGTTCTGCATGAAGTTTTACGACGTTTACGTGAATCTGAACAGTGTGGTGCATGGAGGTCTACCTGGTTTGGTGAAGAATACGAGCTGATGCTTGTGATGAAAGGGATGGTTGTGTAGAGCAGGAGGAGCGAGTGCACAGAAGTCATGCAGATCGAATCCACATGTTTGGCATCTGAACCTCCTACCGGCACCATATTCCTTGCAGCCCATACATGTGAAGAGGTAGGGTAAGCTGATTTGAAGTAATGGGTGTTGCGGGTGGCTAAAATGGAGGAGTTGGTCTCCCTGTAGGTTCGGGTTTGGGGTGGCTGGAAGATCCATGGCAGTCGACGTCGTCCCAAGTTTTCTTGGTGTCTTGGCAGTAAGATTGCTCATGCTTCCTCCTGCTCCTCCTCCTCCTTCGAGAATGCACTGCTTTTCGTGGAAGGCGGCAGAGCATCGATGAATATATGCTGGGGAAAAGCAACAAAGTATCCTGCACTGTGATCTGAGAAGCACATGCCATTGAGGATTCCCCCAAGATATGAACTGATGGGCTTGCTAACTTGCTCACAGCTGTAACGTACATCTGCCACCATGGGCAGCTAAGCATATTGGTGGCAGCAGAAATCAAACTCAAGCTGTCCCACATGAAGCTTCTTTAGGGCAAGACGACCGAGCTGTAGACCACGTAAATCTTCTCTTTGATGGGAACTTCACATTGTTAAGAGCATTACAACGTAAAAGATCAGACACTGGCATTGTCTTCCTCTAGAAGCCAAGCTGAAGCTTTTGCAAGTCAATTCATGTAACATTTTTCACAACGAAAGGAACTCGTGGAATCGAATATGTCCTTGTCATCCTTACATCATCAGGATGTATACAATCTCCTACCAAGAAACAAAACACGATACGGTATTGTCATCCTTACTTGACTGCTCTGTATTACGATGGTTAGCATATGTTTGAAGGAAACTATAGCAGCAAGAGCCATGATTAGAGGCATAGTTTCATGATAAATCCAGTACTGTTTGCCCAAAAAAGAGTGTGACCTCTCTCTACTTTGTATCCAGCTCCATCTGCTTCCTATCATTGTGAACAGATAGCGATAGATCTTTCAAAAGGGGTTCTTATTCGATTCAGAAGGACCTACCAACTAATGAAAACGACGACCTATTGCCTAACTTTGTCGTGTGCTTAAAAGATGGTGCGATATTGATGTAAAGCAGCTTCAATTTGCTACTTTGGGACGCAGACCAGAATGCCATACAGCTTCTCCCTCACGCTACCAAAGTTCTTCTATTCATTCCCTCTTCGTGGTGCAAAGATTGGTTCGTCACGATTCATCAAACTTAAATGAAGGTAAAGGTTTTCCAATTTCTGGGAACTATAGAAGCGAAGAGAGAACTGTTAGAGCTAGCCCCAGGAAATTTACCAAAGGATAATTTTGGCAACACAACAAAGACAATAAAGCGGAAAGAATAAAAGCGACAAGAACAAACAAAACACCAGAACACCAGATATACGTGGTTCGGTCAATTGACTTTGACCTACATCCACGGAAGAAAGAGGAGCAAATTACTACTATAAAAGAGGGACACTTACAAATGCCTTAGGAAGATGTTGCTAGGCCATAAAACACCTTCAGCTTACTAAACAAGAAAAACCCAAACCGTAAGCAGGTTTTCTTGTGGTGCCTCTTGTGCTGCCTGTGGTACATCTGACTTCAAAGCCCAGGCCCTTATTTATAGTTCCAAGACGAGACAACAAGTCTAATTTTCCTGATGTGGGACTATGGGACTTGCCAAACTAACAAATCTCTACCTTGGCATGTCCCAACAAAACTTGCTCCACCTTCTTCACAAAAGCCCCAACGGGCAATCACCAACAATGAATACCAACCAAGTCCAAGCACTGCTTGAACTTGTAAACCGGAAGAGGCTTCGTAAACATATCAGCTGGATTGTCCTTCGTATGAATTTTCTGAACAAGGACTTTTCCTTCAGCAATGATATCCCGAATAAAATGAAACTTCACATCGATGTGTTTTGTCCTCTCATGATACATCTGGTCTTTAGTCAAATGAATAGCACTTTGACTATCACAGTAAATTGTAGTAACACTTTGATGCAGACATAATTCGCTGAACAATCATCTTAACCATAAAACTTCTTTGATCGCCTCTATCACTGCCATATATTCTGCCTCTGTAGTAGATAAAGCTACGACAGGTTGTAAGGAAGCTTTCCAACTAACTGCACAACCGCCAACGCAAAATACATAGCCTATCAAAGATCTTCGTTTATCAAGATCCGCAGCATAATCAGAGTCGACGTAACCAACCAAAGTGTCACGATTTTTCCCAAATTCCAAACAAACATCTGAAGTCCCTTGCAAGTATCTGAGAATCCACTTCACAGCCTGCCAATGTATTTTACCTGGGCGAGACATATATCTACTAACCACACTGACTGCTTGTGAAATATCTGGACGAGTACAAACCATTGCATACATAATACTGCCGATGGCACTAGAATATGGAACTTTCACCATATATTCTTCCTCTTCAACTGACTGTGGTGACTGAGCAGCAGATAGCCGAAAATGGCTAGCAAGAGGAGTACTAACTGGCTTAGCATTTTTCATGCTAAACCTCTCCAAGACTTTCTTAAGGTAATTTTTCTGAGTCAGAAATAATTTTCCAACTCCTCGATCTCTTTTGATCTCCATGCCAAGAATTTTCTTAGCTGCTCCCAAATCTTTCATTTCAAATTCACTACACAGCTGCATTTTCAAAGTGTGAATTTCTGACAAATTCTTAGCTGCAATAAGCATGTCATCAACATAAAGCAATAAATACACAAAAGAGCCATCAGTTAACTTCCGGAA